AAAGAACATGTCTGTTCAGTGAAATCTGTTCAGACTCATTTTATCCAGAAAGTTGTGTCTTTTGGAAAAAATAACAACTTTTCGAAAAATTGTGTTTGTTAGGAAAATAACTACTTTTTGGAAAGTAACGACTTTTCGGAAAGAGTAACAACTTTTCGGAATGTTACTGTTACCTGCAAATTTATAAGAAATGACTTTTCATTTACACTTTGCAAAGGACTTTTCATTTTCTCTCCAAAGTAGTTCCCTCACTTTTGATATTTTCTCTTTTCTTTTCCCATTCACACTTGCTAAAACCCAACATTCTTATCACATTAGATTAAGTTGATCTATAAAGATATCTAGGTATTTCTTTGTAACAAACTTAATTTATTGAAAATTAGAAAAATAAAGTGATAAATAACCTATTATGACCGATTAAATTATACTGATAAAAATAATAAAATATGCATGATGATAATTAATTACTAACCTTGAAGATAAAAACACTAATTGAATATGGAAGGCCATTTTGAGTTGATATTGGATATATAGCAGCACCAAGTGCTATCTCATGGCTTGTTTGTACAAAACCAGGACAAGTTAAATCAAAACATCCTGTTTCTCTTGAGCCATCATTCTATTTTTAAATTCAAAAATATCAAACAAAAGTTCAAATTAGTACATGATTTAACTAATTATATGAATTAATTAGGGATAATGGTCCGAAAAATATCTCAACTTTGATCGAATTTGTTGTTGCGATACTAACCTTTTATAAGGACCTATTACCTTCCTGAAATATTTAATAGTGTATTTTTTACTCCTGAATAATTTAATATTTATAATTTTGCATTATTTTTTATGTTCACGTAAGCAAATATATATGTTTAAAATACGATATCAAATAGTCCAGAGAAGTAGTAGATCCTCATGAAAGTTTAGTATTGCAACAACTAATTCGACCAAAATTGAGATATTTTTTAGATCTTTATCCCAATTGATTAAAACTAAAAAAAAAAACACATTCTCAAATTTAATATGTTATAACATGTTACATTATTTTTTCTGTTTTTTATTAAATTACTATGGACGATAACTTATATTGTGATACTTTGTTAATATAGTAAAAAATCTAAATATACTTACAGTCCAATAAGTGAAAAATCTTGTCTGTCTATCACCATATACCCTTGGATTTACCTAAAATGTTAGAAATCAACTACTAATTAGTAATATGTTACTACTTAGTAGTAATAAAAATATATGATCATCAGACTTTTTTTATAATAACATTTCATTGTAAGTAATATTATAAATAACATCATAATATTATATCTAGTCAAAAATATCTTTTTTTAGACTACTAATGTTGTTATAAAAAATCGAGAAAATGTATAAGTATTCCCCGCATATATTCGAAATTATAGTACACATTTATAGTATATTAATGTCTTATTACCCTCCGGAACTTATTTTGTAAATAATTTTTGATCCCTTTTCGACCTACGTGGCACTAGCTTGAAAAAAAAATATCAACACACGCTGAGCCCACAAGATAGTGCCCCCCGTAGGTTTAAAAGGGGTAGAAAATTATTTATAAAATAAGTTCAGGGGTAATAGGACCTTAGTATAGTATAAGTGTGTCTCTGAAATTTCGAACATAGATTGAGGAGGATTACTTAGCAACCTGAAGCAAACGTTTTCCCTATCTCTAAAGGGGGCCCTTAGACCACTTGACTGTAAGGAAAGGGGTTCGACTCAATATTCACTTATGCATTTTCCCAAAAAAATTGACGGTAATTATTCATCATTAAATTAATAAAAGTATATACTAACAGCCCATCCAGCTTCAATGTCTTGATAATCATTATAAGCTCCACTCATAAGAGCAAGTCTAGAAGTACTATATTCATCATCTTCTTCAACATGAGGATTCCAAGTTTTCATATCTGTTTTTCCTCCCATATATCTAAGTCCTTCAGTGTGCAATATAGCCAACTTCATAAAAAAAAAAAATAGGGTTAAAAAAAGTATTATACATTTACACTATTAAAATAATTTCCAACTCGGTATCAAAGTTATGATCGATATTTTCACTAGCATCAAGATATTGTCATAATCATCAATACATTATACAGTTACTGATTAAACTATATTAATTAAAAAAAATGAAAAAATGCATTAGTATCCTTAACCTATGCCTGAAATTTCAGAGACACACTTATATTATTTCAGTACTTATTTTATAAATAATTTTTTATCCCTTTTCGGTCTAAGTAGCACTAGCTTGAAAAAAAGTGCCAACATGGCCCACAAGATAGTGTCAGATAGGCCGAAAAGGGATAAAAAATTATTTATAAAATAAAACCTTAATATAGTATAAGTGTGACTCTGAGATTTCATCGCTAAAAAAAATCATATACACATTTTGGGGAACTTACTGAGTGATTTTTTTGTGCAAGGTTGATATCCTCCTTGATCCTCAACCTTCTATCAAGATGAAAAGAATTAGGTTTTCTTATATGATCCTTTTTGTAATTATTTTGTGTTCTTCTAATTGGAATTGTCCCTTTTGGACAACTTCCACTTTTATGCCATGTTTGTGTTGTCACATATTTGTATGATTTTTCTTCGTCATTTGTTTTTGTAGGCTTCATCATTGTATTATAGCTTGGTGTCATCTGTCGTAAAAAAATATAAAGAAGTAAATACATAAAAAAAAAATTAAATTTAATATATCTCTAACGATGGGCGGAATAGGGGTTCAAAAGTATAGCTTGAATTATTTTTATAGGTTTAACTTGCATACATTGACGATATAATTTTTTTTGCTATATCAATATCGAGATATGTTAACATGTAATAGTAGATATAACACATTATTTTTATATGACTAGCTATACTTTAACTTTTTTATAAATAGTTACATGTAATTGTCATATACTTGATCTGATCATGAATTTTTTTGAATAAAAGAAATTAACGTATACAAATTAATTAGGGAAACTTACATAAATATACCATAATAAAAAAATATTTATCATTTATAGCAATAATTTTTTTTTTCACTTGTTCACTTTTAATTCATTTATAATACAAGTTTAATACATATTACAAAGAACAATTTATTATTCACATATAATACAAATTTTAATGATGAATAATACATTTTTCAAACATTAATACACTTATAATACAATGTGACAATTTTTTACCAAACAAACATGATATATTTCAAAAACCAATTATAATTCATATATATTGCATATATAATTCACTTTTAATCCATATTACAGATTCAACAAAGCATTGCTATAAATGATAATAAACAAAAAGTATCGCTAAAATCAGTAATTATTTTTTAAAATGTATTAATTTATGTAATTTTTCTAATTAATTAATTAATTATATTTTTTTTATAATTATTAATGTAAATTAATGTAAATTGAATAAACCTGAATTTTGTGATTCTTCAAGGCAGGATGATATAAAGCTGGCTGCTTGAAAATATCAATACAATCAATAACATCTCCATCTTCACTCTAACAAAAAAAAGAGTGTAAATAAAGAAATAAAAAAATCAAATAATTCACTTAATGTATAAGAACATTACTATATTTGATAAGAAATTACAATAATGTAAAAATTGTAATATGGTATCTATAGAAGACAAAAACTTATATAATGTTAATACTATATAGTATATACTAATGAGCAAGTTATATAGTGAAATAACATCAGAATTATAGTGAAATAGATAATAATTCTTCACTTTTAATCAAAAGTCTCGAATTTAAACCTTTGATAAGAAAGAAATTCTGACAAAGAACGATTTCATTTACAAATTCAACTTATCAGGAATCATACTAATATCGGACATGGGATGGACAGGAATGATTCCATTTACAACTTTAGCTTATCAGGAATCATACTAATATCGGACATCGAATGGAACCTAAGGAAAATGAAAGAAAATGATAATATATGTTTGTTTTTGTAATATAATAATGTTCATAATTCATAAAGATATAGACATACCTGGATGCTTTTAATAACAAGACCATTTTCTCCCAAGGCAAATGTTGCAAAAGCTATTAATTCCAATAACAATATAACTATCAATTTAAATGACATTTTTTTGGAAAAAAAAAACTTAAAGATCTTGAATGATTTGAATGATTTTATATAATATAAAGTTTATCTCTCTCTATATATAAGTATTGATATTTCATGAATAAATTCATGTTTAAAACTAACCTCTATATAGATTTTCATGACCTACCTACCATACTAATTTCTAACACCATTTATAATGCATTTTGTTTTGTTATTCATTTTTGTTTTAATTTATTACTTATTTTTATAGTTTTGCATTATCTTCGACATTTCTATACAGTCTCGATTGATTTGAATTTCTACAGTGTAAAGTCCATTTTAAGGGATAAAAATTTTCTATTAAGAACTTTTTCATATCTAAGAGTCGAATAAAGATCAATCATTTAGTAAGGATATTAATTAAATGATCATACTATATATTCATTCCTTTACAAATTTTGGCGATTGTTTTGAGATTTTGTTTTTTTTTAAAAAAAATAATAAAAATAAAGCAATCTTCCTCGAGTTAATTTAAACACCATTAATAGTCAATTAAGCTTGTAAGCTGATAATAAGCAAACAACTTTCCAATTGCACAACACTTTATATATTCTTCTTCTCAATAATTTTTAAAAAAAAATTATACTCCATTTTATTTTAATTTGATTCATATAATAATAATAATCCATATTTCACATTATTTGTTCATTTGAACATATCAAAAAGTTCATTAACGTTTTTAATATTATTCTTAATATTAAATAATTACACAAAATAGGTATAATAAAATTTAGAATTTCTTTAAAAATATATTAAGTTAATAAGAGTCAAATAAAAAGCACTACTCAAACTTTTTATACCATAGAATTTATGAATGCCCTTATAATTGAAATATTTTGTAAAAAATTGTTTGAATTTTACCTTCCACTTAATAGTTAGGACCAACAAAATTATAATATTTTCTCTTTTATAAAGTCACTACTATTTAAATTGACACTCATTAGCTTAATAGATCAAATTTTCCTCTTAGAAAAAACTATATCCTCACTGTTGTCATTAACTAAGTGAAATTTTTTACTGTATCCTCACTGTTATCATTAACTAAGTGAAATTTTTTTGTCTGAATCTAAATTAATCGAGTTGAAAATTAAAAATTGGATCAAGAAAAGAACAATTCCTCATTAAAGCTAAATCAACACTAGCAATACAATAACAATATACTCACTGAAACTTGACACAGGTGGGATGTGACTATTATCTCTAAAGTGAATTTTTTTTGGTCTGAATCTAAATTGATCGAGTCTCAAATTAGTAAGAAATCGAAGGAGAAAAACACTTCCTCGTTAAAGCTAAACCAAGATTGGCAATACAATAACAATATATCTAGTGAAATTCGATAGGTAGAGTCTGAAGAGAATGAAGTGCGTATACATAAACTTTATCACCCCTCGTGAAAGTATGTAGAGAGACAATTACTATAATACCCTTAACTCAACAAAATCAAATAATTTCAAGGACATAATGGATTTCTTCCTGGCCCTCCAAAGTGAAATTCAGGTTCTTCAACATAATCACCTACATATTGAGATCTATAACAATCATATTCTTCTGAATAAGCAACAACATTTTGTGGAAATCTCAACTCCATTGAATTATCAAGAATTCTCATATACTTCATTAATCCAGTATTTGCAAATATATAAAATGGAAAAGCTCCACTTCCCATTTGAGTTTTTGTATGAGGATGTTTTCCTACATTTTTACTATAAACTTCACCACCCCATTGAACTGTTTCTGCATGGACTTCTAATCCACCTTCAAAGATTTTTGATGGCCAATATCCTATGTTGATGGATCCTCCATATTGTAACCACCAGTTGCTAGTATTCAAATCCTACCACAACAAAATTAGAAAGATCACTCAGTATAATAATCTTACGAGTAGAATCTGAGAAGTATGGTGTACACACAATCTTGTCTTTCTTACATTGTGAAGGTAGATCTAGATCGAGAGGATTTGTTTCTGATAGAATCTCGACAAATTATTATAATAAGACGATTAAAGATTAAAAATATAAATATATTTTTCTGTAGTAAAAAAGAGTTAAAAGATATATCGCGATGAATAATTTTTATCGTTAAAAAACAAAAAAATATAATAGTAATCATCAACAAATATTTTTTTTTATCGCTAAACAACAAAATTCGTTGCTAATAATCCTATTCGGTAATAGATGGTATCAAAAGATGTTAGCTTTGGACTATTTGACAATTTAGTTTTACACCATAGGTTTAGAGCCT